AATAAAAAAATATATTAAAAAAAAAGGAAACCTGATGCAGACTGACTTTATTAACCTGTATCAGGTAGGGATAATCTCTTGTGTTCTGTGTGGAAATATGCTGGACAATAAGCTGAGGCAGGATTTGAAGACAGGACTTCTGGTAGGGAGAGAGGAGCTCTGGGATAGAATCAGACAGGAAAAAGATTCACCACAAGGACAGCTGGACATATGAAGCAGGGGACAGAGGACCGGCCACAGAGCTGAACTTAGGTTAGTACAAATGGGATAAGAAGTTATGAGTTAGTCAGAGAATAAGCCAAAGGTTAAGGCCTAGGCTTATTAATAAATAATAAGCTTCAGAGTAGTTTTTCAGGAAGTGGGGCACAAGTGGAAAAGCCCACAGCTTCGGGGTCAGACTTGAGGGAGACTAATATTAGGCAGTTCCTTACCAGCATATTTAAAACACAGCACAATCTGGGAAAAGATTTCCAGGCAACAATCTGTCCAATTCCAGGTGCACAATAAAGCTAATTTGTGACTACATAAAAAGTCCCTTACAAAGTACATGGACCATGAGGGAGGGCTCTCTGGCTAAAAGCCCTAGAATTTAACATGGATTCTGGCCTATAGCATAGAGATCAGCAGGCCATAAGGTACTTATGACATCTCCCCTATGGATGGGAAATAGTCTAGGGAAGAAAGAGTCCGGGATAATCATTCTGGAAAATTTGGGTTAGGTCTGCCTCTATGGCAAAAGGTAGGTGAGGTCTGCCTCCACAGATAGCAGAGATCACATGACCATTAACAAAATCAACTCCCAGCCTTTAGGATTAAATGCAGGTATTTTATCTCTATCATTGAGAAGCTCCTGTGTGTTTAACATTCCTGTTTTCCCTCGTGCTCTGTGGGTGCAAGGACCATTGTGTCCCCAGAATCCTGTTGCTCATTGAAGAGTGAAACTCTCCTGCAAGTGAGAGAGTGAACCTCATGCAAGGATGAGCTCCCTAACTGGTTATCCAGTGCAGTGTGGTCTGAAACCATGTATATACAACAGAAACGGACTCAGCAAGTTTTACTCATATGTTTGAGCATCCGTATTCATGCATGCTTAACAAGGAAGGAGTTGGTTGGGAAGAATTTTGGAAGGGATAAAAAGAGGACAGGAAAGGGGGAAGTGATATAGTATATTTTAATTAAAATACATAAAAATAAATTTTAAGTAAGCGGCTAGAGGGAGAGCTTAGTAGTTAAGAGCAATGGGTGTTGTGACAGAAGCTGCAGCTTTCAATCCTCAAACGGCATGGAAGCTAACCATTTGCTGTAATTCCAGTCCCAGGCATCTCCTGCCTTCTTCTGGTCTCTGTTGGTATTGCAGTATTTTTATATATGTATGTATGTATGTATGTATGTATTTAATAATATTAAAAATAGAATTCTATTCAGTGATGTCACAGCCCTGAGACAGACAACAGTCAGGGCTTGTTAAAATGAATTCACTCTGGTCCTGCATGGTAGAAGCTGTGGCCTTCCTCTGAGCCAGCCTGTTCAGAGTCAAAAGCAGCCTTATTGTGAGCTTAGAAAGGCTCAGCAGAGCTGTTTCTCTAAGAACAGTGTCCACAGTGCTGATGAGTGACTTTTCCTTGTTCCTTTCCAAATTTGTGTTCTCTGTCATTTGTATATGTGAGAATTATGGCATTGATACATCTATCTGTTAGACCACCCATTATGATTACCAGGTAGCATTGGCTCCTGAGAAATATACGTTCACACTGTCATTTACTTGATTTTTAACTAAGACATTGTGGTTCAAGATGAACATTCCTGAGGCCTTTCTGTCCATCATTTTTATAATTTACACGTTTCTGCATGACTTTGAGCTAAGAACGCCCTTAAATATATCTAATTTTATACTGTGACCATGTTCAGAAGAGGATTTTTACTTAGCATGCTTAGGAGTAGGCAAACTTATATGAGAATGTATCCAGACCCCTGAAGTAAAATCTCAATGTTTCTTCTGTTGAAGAAAACCATTGCTTTGGAAACAACTCCCATGCTCTTCTTGCCTGCCATGGAGGGGCAGTATAATTTTCAGCTATTGTCTCGGGTGTTGTGATGGCTATTCTTGATAGTCAAACTAACTACATCTGGAATTAACTAAAATCCAAAGAGTTGGGTACTGTGGGGGATTTTTCTTAATTATAGCTTTTGAAATGAGAAAACACTTCTTTTGAGTTGACAAGAACCATCTTTAATCTAGGCCACAGTTTCTGGTGGCAGCCTACACATATAAAGAACATTGAAGATGGTAGCGCTTTCTCATCCGCTTTCCCTACCTCTGGCTAGCAAGGGTTTGCTTTTGTTTGTTTGTTTGTTTGTTTGTTGTTTTTATTTTTCCTGGCGTTAGATTCTACTTTGGAATTCTGCTATATACTTAAGAACGGCTGAGACATTCTCCTACATGGACTGAGCCACTCACTACCAGAGTCTTCAACTTTCCGTCGGTAGGCAGCCATAGTTTGACTAGTTGGACCACAGCCTGTGAGCCATTCTAAAAATGCACTTTCTACAGGACTTTCCAATGGGGTCACTGTAAAGACCTCCAAGTGAAGTCCTCCCTAGTAGAGTAACTGTCTCCTCCAGTGTAGTCACTGTGGAGTCCTCCCCAAAGGGGTCTCCTTGATGTGCTCCACGATGTGAACTCCTCTCCTGTGGGGTCACTGGAATGTCCTCCCCAGGGGGCTCACTATAACATCCTCTCCAGTGAGGTCACTGTAATGTTCTCCTCAGGTAACTGTCACATTGGAGCAGCTATAGCGTAGTCCTCAATGGAGTCACTGTAGCCTAGGACATTAAGGAGAAGGGAGAAGGTTACAATGATCTCACTGGAAAGGATGTTACAGTGACCCCACTAGGGAGGAGGTTACAGTGATGCCATTTAGGAGGACACACAGTGATACACACACCCTTCAAGGAAGTTGTTTTTTTAATTTGGCTTCTGCCATTCTTGGCCCATGTGGACTTTCCCTCCCCACAGAACACCTACCCCAGAGGAAGAATCATTCACAGAGGGTTAAGGTAAGGAGGACCGTTATTAGAAGACAGGACTTTTGTTCTGCTGGGATTAGAAAGGGGAATTCTGTACCTAATTTCCAGTTTTGTACAGAAATAGAAAAGAGAAGCCACACAGTCTCATCATCATAATCGCCATGCACACATTATTATTAGGAGGAGCAGTAACAAGCTTTGTATATGCTGTTTCGTCTACCTAGAATAATTCTCTTTCTAGCCTAGCCTGGCTAACTCCCACAAATTATTCATATCTCAGCCAAAGTCCCTTTTGCTCCAGGAAGCCTAGATGTGTGTGTGTGTGTGTGTGTGTGTGTGTGTGTGTGTGTGTGTGTGT